ACCTATTGTGCTGTTTATCCACCAAGAATATCCCTTTCAAGTCTTATTTTCTACTTTGAAATCAGTCACACTATCATCTACCTGCTGCAAAACAAATGAAGGTTATTTTAGGTAATCTAATCCAAAAGTGAATAATCATACTATTATAAATCCCACTGGGGGTAAAGCAACAAATTAGCCTGAAAATTGCTTACTTTCAATTCTATAAATCAACAGTCCACATACAGCATCCAAAAGATATAATGAAAAAGACAGTAAATACTATAAATGTTGAACAAACCGTTCCATAGTCTTGTTTTCCTGTTTGTTAAATACTACTTTCTTAGCTAAGTCCTTTTTATATTAACCTTGATTATTTCAAAACAGTGTTTATATGTGAAAGATAATAATATGCTCATTGTCAAGAAATAAGTCAAGAAATAATACTCACTTTTGTGTGATTAGTCAACAACAATACACACTCCAGTGCATACAAATAAATCCCTCCTCAAGTTGTACATGCATGGGCTTAGATTTATTAAACGCTATAAGCTCCTCTCTAACTATGGAGAAAAGAAGTAAAAGGAAAACTAACATGTATCCTAACCACAAGAAAAGGTCATGCGTCAGACAAATTAAGAAACCCATGTGAATACTGCATTTACGTGAATTTGACAGTATTTTTTTAGGGTGCAGTATTGTACTACATTTTACCAAAGAGTGAAAAGCATGTGTGTGTGCGCGTGTGTATATACACACACACACATATGCTTAGTTTGCTCATTATTAAGGTGTCATACAGTTACACCGCTTCCATATGCACCTCGATGAGGGACAACATTATTTCCAAGTTACTTATCCAGGCCACTTAACATGTTTTCTCTTGCTTACAGTAAAACAGACCTATATTAGACCTACATACTTAAGCAATTTTATTGGCAATCTAGATAATTTGATGAATACACATTTTTAAGAAATTCACACATGTCGATTTCTTAATGTATCATTCACAACTAACTAATTTCAAGGTAGACAAAACCAAAGTAGCGTGAACTCTGGAATAAACACTACTTATGTTAAATGTCAAAAAAAGAAACGACTGAAATAAACTTATGATTTACAGCAAAATAAAGTAAAATATTTGCTAATAGTCAGTATAGCATGTCTTGTATTTTAAAAACTCTCTTTAACAATAAGCAACAATCAAATGAGAATTCAAGAAAATACTGACAAGAAATCAAAGAGAAAAAGTTAAACTATGCTCAGAGGGAACTGAACTGAAATAAGCAGTACTTAAGCAAAGGCTTTGTTTTTCTACAGAGCACAAAAATCTTGGGAGCAATTTCTGCTGTTATTTCATCTACTTACTCCAGAGAATAATTTAATTTCACACAGAAGATAGGGCTGGTTTTGACTTAATTTCAGGATTGTGGAAGAGCAAAGCAGCAAAAAGAGACAACAGCAGTAAACACAACCAATCCAGTGCTACTGCAAAATTTGCCCAAAGAGAGTCTATGATTACTCCTTACAACCTTCTAATTATATTACGTATGATGGGCAGGAGATGTGGTTTCACAGCACAAGATTTGGAGTATACAGTAGGCAGATAAGTGCACATGAAGAAACTGATGTTCAGAATGTGTCTGCATACAGTGTAGGAATTGCAGGAGAGAAGAGGGAGAACAAAATCTAGGCTAGGAAAGCGGCTGTGTCAGCAAGGCATTTTCTGCAACAAAACATGGTATGTTTGGTATCCACTCCAATAACAATATGAAACAGAAGTAAATGCTGATATATCGGCAAAAATATTTAGGTTTTTTAACCTGAATGAATCGTCATTTCTACTTCTAAAGCATGAGTATTTTCAGTTGAAAAGCTTCTGCAAATACATCAACATTTCTCCAGATTCATTATTGCTGTCTTTGTACTTCATCGACAGAAGATTATAGATGACAAAGGTAAAGAAACCTGTAACATCCTTCATTCACCTGTTTAACTTCCTGCTTATGAGACACTTAAATTCAAATTCTTCATGTTAGATTCTTGTTTCTTTGGCTGCTTACTTTAAATTCAGCAAATCACCTCAACCCCTTCGCAAAGGTAGTTCAGTCAAATGTTTGCTGTCCGCCCAATAATCCTTACAGCAGTTTGTAAGAAGCCTGCACCCTCCCTATGCTTTGGAATGGGGACAGTCAAGGAGGGATTCGAGACTGCATCATGATGTTGCCACGGAATATTCTGCCAGATCTGCCTGGCAAATTATGTCTCAGCTTGCGCATAAATACACACACACGCACGCAATGCAGACTTGTTTGAATTGGGTATCTATATTCTTCCAATGTTCTCCCTGTCATGAGGAATAATCCAATCTAGAGCTGCAACAACTTGAATTCCAATTTTTCTCTTGATCCTTCAGAACACTTAGATTACATTGTGGTGCCAGGAAAAGAAACTTGAGAGTGAAGAGAATTTCATTTAGTCGCATTGCGTTACTCCTGCTGGCGCTCAAATGCAAGGAAAAGAGAAATTAGTTTAACTGGAAACTAAGTAATATGAAGAGCTGAATGAAAAAGGAAACCAGAGAGGAGAGAGAAAAAAAGATTATAAGAACAAGCACAGGCTCAGGAGCAAAAATGCAGAAGGAATTGAATGGATGATTGAAAAGATCAGCAACCACCAGCATGTGCAATTCCTTTTGCTGTAACCAAAATGAAACAAGAGCATCTAACCACATTCAAGTCAAACGGAAGCCTCCTATATATCCATCTCTGTTGGTATACCCTCCTGCAATTAACTAGCAGTCTAATGTTGGGTAGCTGAACCCTTTGAAAAATTTCTCATTTCCTCTTTGCTTCTTGACCTGATTTCACAACATAAAGCACATTTCCTCACTACAGAGATCTTAAACTTCCTACTGTTGAGCTTCAATCAAGTGAACTTCCACCCAAGATGAAGATTTGAAATACAAAAACTGATTAATGCTTATTTTTGGAATTCCTTTTTATACTCAACCACCTTATCAGCCTAAGCTGCCTGCTGCTAAAGAACTACATGACACCCTTATTTTCCATCAGCCTCAAAGTTGATTAGATTATTGCTTGCAGTGATTTCTGAAGAGAAATACTCTTTTGTCATCATCTTTCCGGCTTTAAACTATGTCCACAAAAGTCTCTTGTCTTACTGTCCACAACCATTTTTGAGCTGAATAAACAGACTTCTGGTCACCAGGAACTCTTTACTGTTGGGGCAAATACAAATATGATACTGCAATATCCAAAATTTCTTTTCTGATTCTTTTACAACTTCTGTCAAGAATATTCAAAGATTATGAGATTATATGTAAAATTTCAGTGTGGTCAGATTCTTTCAGAGAAAGTTAGGTATATTCAGAAATAGGTTTATTATAAAAATAAAGCACCAACCTTATTGTTAAGAAACTGTTTCTCAGAGTTTCACCTTTAAATTTTTTCAGGCTATCTGTACTATCTGCTGTGATAATCTAATGAAGATTAGAAAATGGACAACTTTAAGGAGCACATAGCACATTTAATGAACACATTCATAAATTTTATTAGCAACCATATGGTTTGCCTTGTCTACTATTTAGAAAGAACCACAACTATTAAGTATGAATAAAGCTAACTTTTTTTCCCATCCTCACCTATTATTATGGATTATACTGTCAGAAAACTAAACAGTTTAAAGAATTGTTTTATTACACTGTAGAGCACTGCAATGAAAAACAAAAGGCAAGAACCGAGTTGTTACAAAATAAAAACGATTTGATAAAAACAGACAACTCAATATTTCTGTTATGTTTTCTGAAAACACTACCATTGGTGTACGTGTATTTTGAAATGATAGACTCCTGGGAATTGTTTCCTTTTCAAAACTAACAGTCAGACAGAAAACATTATGATCAGCCAAACATACAAAAGACAAGAACATTGAGAAATAATAAGAAAATTAAACTACTTAAAATGTTTAGCTCACCTTTCCAACAGCAGCAGCCACCCTGTTGGTCTCCCCTGCTCTTTGTTTTCATTGCAATGTCCAGCATTATGGCTGAAGGAATAGAGTATAGCAGAACCTCGCTAATTTACCTTACTAATTCAAACACCTCATAATTTGAGCACAAAAGTTTGTCACTTTCCCAATATCTTAGCAAAAATCAAAACGCTGCAGAGATGGTTTCTATCACTCACTTAGCAATAGTAAATACACTATACAGGATTGATGAGTACCCTATTAAATATTATCATAGAAATGTAAACTAAATTAGTCTAATAAAGTAAATGTGTCACTGACTTTCTTAATTGCAAATATTACCATTAAAAAAAGTGAATTCCCCATCAGTGAATTAGGGAGGCTCTACTGTACTTAAAAAAATCTAAGGTCCTCATTGATATCCTTCAATCTACAACTATCTTCGGACTAGGTTACACGGGAATACAGCAACTATACCTCTGTCTTGCTATATATGGTAATTATAGTGTCCTGTCATTATTTCCATTTTTCAGAATTCTGACTCCCCAGAGAGGTTGTGGAGTCTCCTTCTCTGGAGATCTTCCAAACCCACCTGGATATGATGCTGTGCCCCATGCTCTGGGTGTCCCTGCTCAAGCAGGCGGCTTGGACTAGATCATCTCTAGAGGTCCCTTCCAACTTCACCCATTCTGTGATTGTGAGATTTCAGAACATTATACATTTAAATTACTGTTTGATGTTTTTTCCTTCTGCAAAGGTGATTTTTTTTTCCTTCCCTCTCTCTCTGAAATACCAAGTAAAGCTCAGTTCTGGAACAGTATTAGGATATTCAGTAAAATGTGTACAATGTTCAATATTCATTCCTGGCTGCCCATGTTTGGATACAAACTACATGACATTCCTCATCTGGGGTGAAGTTTGTTGTTTAGATCAGTTAGCAGTTCAATGGTACTCAAACACTTCTCTGGAAGAAAGATTATTTTTATATTACCATATTCAAATAATCAAATTGACAACTGTGAAAAATATCTTACTGGTCTGACATCCCCACATGAGTTGGTGAATTGTCGAGCCAAGCCAAAATCCAGCATAAAGCACTTCCTGCAGGTGCTAGGAAAACGTCCCATTGCAAAGTTGGACTAGGAAGAAAGAAAAATATGTATGTACTTGAATCTATGTATATATTAACACAGAGATATTACTGGAGGGGAAACATTGTCTATAGAAAAATTGCAAGAAATAACTACTTAACCATTGTGAGGAAGGCCGAGATTATAGATGTTCAAGCCAATATTAATTTATAGGAAAATTCTGCGCTCATGAAAACACACTCAAATTACTGTCATTTCTCATTTTTCCATTTTAACATCTAATATAGCAGCCATTCCTACTTATGCCGTGATCCAACGTCCACACATTAAAAAAGTATTTTGTTTCAGACGAGGGACTTACAGGCTTTATGTCTCTGTGCAGGAATCCCACTGAGTGAATGCTTTCAATAGACTCCAAAATCTGCTTGCCAAGCCGCAGAGTGGTACTGATGGTGAATGTTCCTCGAGACTGGCTCCGACGCAGGTCTGCCAAGTTCCGACCCTGCTCAAAACAGAATGAAGTTTTCAGAACAAAGAGGAAAAAATACTAGAAGACCAACAGTCATAGACAGCATAAAATCTTCCTACCCCTTCTTTAGTGGTTAAACGTGGAATATTCTCATCATCTATTTTCATAGTCAAATGTAACACACGCCACCAAAACAAAATGATGAAATGTTGCTAAGTATCTTCAATGTTAAATTTATAAACTGTTTTTGAAAAAACGAACCCTAGCATTTATCTGCCCCTAAATAATGCAGACCAAATTGATGTTCAGTAAAAGATTTTGGTATATTTCTCAACTATGAAGTGTTGCATATGTGGTACACACACACACACACGTCAGAAAAAAATACCTGCAAAAACTTATTTATATTCACCTCTCCAGGGAAAATATCTTATTTGCTTTGTTATACATTGTGTCTTAGATGACTTCAATAGATTTAAAGAATACTAAGCAAGAAATGCCTCTTTACAATGTCATAAATAGTTGGTCTTTCAAAATAAGATGATCAAAGTATGTATACTAGAACATCTACCAAGATGGTAAAGAACACTTAGTCCATAATTTTACATCCTAATCACTCGCTTTTCCCTTACAAGAACAAGCATTTTAGTTAACTTAAAAAAAATGCTCTTTGCAAGTTAAAAACCTAACTTTCATCCCATAACCTAAACGAAACAGACAGTTTTGTTACATTTTAGACTATTTTCAACCAAAACCTTTAAAAGAATGTGAATTAACTCAGAATATATCACAGTTCTCACTTTGCATCCTCAGAACAACCCAAGTATGTAAACTTACAGTGAATTATGGAAAAAGTATCAAGGGATAAGAATATAAGCATATGTTCCATTTAGGTTACCTCACAACTACACATTTATAATCTTTGATCATTTTTAGTGATCAGTCTCTAAAATTTAACTAGTATTTTCATATATTTCTGTCTAGAATAACAAAACACAAAAGCTAGCTTTGAGTTCTGTTTGATACACTGACCTGAAGTTGCATGACCACGTAGTTAAATCTGTCATTCCTTCCACATCCGATGAATCTACAAACATGATCTTTCCCTGAGGATAATAATAATAATAAGTTAGCCAATAACAAGAAGATTCTGTGGTTTTATTCCTTAAAAATCTAGCACATGTCCCTCCACCCAAAAAAAAAAAAAAAAAAAATATTGCTTTAGATATCTTCAATTAACTTTAATAAACAGGAAGAATGGTAGAAGAAAGCTGTTAAAAAAAAAATCTGTTAGTTTGGAGGGGACTTTTTGATACTGCTCCACCCAGAGCCCATTAAACCACTGGGAATTAGTCCTGGAGTTTCTGAAGATTCTCTCTTCACTTGCCAGAAAAGTTGGTTGTCTATTTATTGCAATCCCCCTGGCACATACGTTCAAACAGACAAGTCTACTTCTATAAAGAGAAAACAGAACAAGACTCATCAAAATAATTTATTTTAAAAGAAATCTCTATAATCTCTGCTTTTATATGAATACTAAACTGTAAGCTGCTTTACTTCCGTTTTTCCTTACACTGTTTTTTAAAGCAAGACAAGCAATATTAGACTAGATCATATCCCAAGAAAGGGATTTGCAGCAAATTCCCCGGGATGAAATCCCGTATATTCATGGCTGCACTTTAATGAGCTAGTGAGCACCCTGGTAGGGGTGGCCCTCGCCCTGGGGCCTGCCCCACACGCAGCCTGTCGCTCCATGGCTCCCCAGAGCGGTAACCACCAGAGCTAAAGACCATGCGGACGCGGGAGATGGAAACCTACTGCGCGGCGCTCGGCCTCACCCACAGACACGGGGTAAATCTGGCTGCTCCGCTCTGGCGGCACGAACTGAAACAGATGGAGCGACAACATGGTTTCCAAAGGGAAAAAGAAAAGATAAAAAGGGAAAAAGAAGCCGTACCATCTGTTGCGGCAGATTTCTTTAAAAATCTGACAGCTTAAAGAGTTAAATACTGTGCTAACAACAAAATTTAGAGGGTAGCATCATTGCCAAGAAAAAAGAGGGTAAAAAAACAGAAAAAAAAAACAGGAAAAAAAAAAACCCTCACAGATGCAATCCATGTCTAAGCTATATTAAATGGCCATACCACCGAACGTAACAGGCACTTCATAACACATAGAATTAACAAGAAAATTTTGCTTCTCCCAACTCTTTTTATTGGAAAGCATTAAGACCGAAGCCATAGAACTACCCTGCACGCTTAAGTGTGCTTTGCTGCACCAGGAACTTAAACTAGGTTTTTTGGATGTCTTTCAGTACTTGGTGCATTGCACATCTATAAAGCTGGGACTCAGTGCACCACTGCAATGAATGACCACACTGTTTTCATTTATCGAATTTTCTTAAATTGAAAAATAATAAAATACAGTACGGCTTTGCATTTCTGCCGACAACTCTTCTCGTCTCTATTTCACACTTTCTGTGAAATAAGACTGCAATTCAGAAACTCAAAAGCACTTCTACCACATGAGTAGCTCTAGTGAAGGAGCTGGCCTATCTACCGGCTGCTCTGCTGGACCGTGACCAACTTATACCTTGGTGTAACTTGTCGTCTAATTCTTTCCTCAAAACCTCTTGCTTCAAAATATGTACCGGAAACAACACACTAGAGTAAATATATATAATTTTTAAAGTTAGATCTACACTTTAAAGAATGCTGAACAGTTCTGTCAAGCCACTTCAGCAGGGAGACAAAAGCTGTGGCCTCATTACATACTATTCACACATCAACTTTCCAATTACTTGCATGGAAGGGGATTCTCATGACAATTACATTCCTTCCTCTGAGTTGAATTATGTCCAAGGTAACCAGAACACCTTGAAAATGAAAGAACATGGATCCTTTGAGAAAAGAATAATAACACATACACAATAAAAGGTGATAAGAGAACAAGATGATCTAGTCTCAGAGGACATATGCTATTAGTAGGTAGTTACAAAAATATCCTAGAAAAATTGTCTACAATTTCACCTCAGAACCACCGAATAGGCAGAAAAAAAAATCATCAAAAAGAAATAAAATTTCTATACAATGAATGAAACAGTAAATTAAAAACACACTCTTCAAGAACTGATAGCATTTGATTTTTGTCCATTTTTCCTCAATTTTCTTTCCGCTTCATCAAGAACTGCAGAAGTAGAAAAAAGTCGGTTCTTACTGCTAGGAGCCACAAATTTGTGTAAAATGTTTTTTTCCACCACAATCCACTACTCTAACAAAAATCCTGTGAGTATGGTTAAAAATTTCATATGAAAAAATAAAAGTATCTGATCATACTATAGATCTCAGTATGTTTCAAAAGGACCTCCACAAGCCCTCTCTTACTGAAATCATATTCCTCACTTCCTACATCATTCCCTACCTACATTTTCTACCTAAAACTGAAGTCTGAACTGTTCTGTGAAACTCAAACACCAAAGTCCACTTCCAGTATCACCGCCACAGAGTCACAGCACTGCTATTTATTTATTTATTTCTACAAAAATTAATACTGAGAAAACAAATAACAAAACAGAACTATCCTTATATCAAGAAACTAGTGCAATGCCTCAGTGAATCTGTTTTCAGGTGTTCCCTTCTGCCGTTTCCATCTGGACAGCATTACTCGTGACACTGCACAGCTATGGACACTTCGGGGGGAAGATCTCAACTTACTAGAGTTATACTCCAAAATCAGGACTGATGCCAAAATTCAACTTTCATAAGGCCATAGGGCAACAGTCAACAAATTGATTTTTGCTTCTTTCAGCCAACATTTCTAGCTTTAAATTTCTCAAATACTATTTTTTCCACAAAAAGTAAAAAAGTCATAGTAGGAAAACAGTACCTTTCACTTCAAAACTTCACTGTAATTGTGAAGTTCTTTAAAAGAACACAAACAGAAGAGAGGTTAAAATATTCATAGTATAACATGACATATTTGCCCTCAAATCTATAGAGGCTGACAATGTTTGTTTTTATGTGACCTTAGAAGCAGATCAGAGCACCATGCCAGGCAGATTTTGATTTGCTCAAACTAAGAGTTGAAGAAAATTTGGCTCCTGCTATTTGTCAAAATCTTCAAGAATCAAAATAAATTGCTAAAAAAAACTTTATAAACTTTTTATTTAATCTTATATTTTGAAAAGTAATGAAGAGAAGCCATGATAGACTTCTTTTTACTGATAGTGTCAGACATTAAAATATAATTAAGCTAATTAAGTAATCTATTCAAAAGTGCATCTGACAAAGATTTTGAGAGCAATTAAATTTTTATTGCTTTGGATTTTCATATCATCCTGTTTCAAAGAACACTTTAGATGTATCAAAGCATTCAGAAGCTCAAAGAGCTCAGTTTTCTGACGAACCTAAACCTAATGGCTTCTATTTCATTCCTAAGGACAATTTAGAAATTAACTGCAGAATATTGGAAATACTTAATCACACTAAAACAAAACAGAGATTCAATGATTTTTTTTAAAGGAAAATCACTGATGTGCTTCTTCTGGTGTATCTAGAGTACAGCTCTACCTTGCAATTTCTTCAGCACAGCTACTTCCATTTTCAGGACCTGCTTTGGCTGCTGGGCTGACTCGACCTTCAACGCCACGTTTTCCCGGGTCAGCAAGTCCAGCGCATCGTAGATTTCTCCAAAGCCTCCGCCACCTATTTTCCTCAACTATATTGAAAAGAAACACCAAAAACAGATTTTAATAGCGAAGACAAGAAGAAAGGAAAAAAGTCATCGATATCTTTTTACTTCCTGCCAAACTGAAAAAAGGTCACGCTACTAATAATTTAAATTAGTAAAATTACATCCTTAATAAAAGAGTAAAAGATCTCTTGAATAGTCTAGCAAAGTATGGTTAACAACAATAAATTAGGAAGGGGATCCTTGAAAGACTAGTTAATATACCTGATCTCCATCTTCATTAGACTCGATTAACATTTTAACACACCATAAAGCTAAAATACTATTTCCAGCATGAATGTGACCAAGTCATCATGCTGAATATACACTTTCCTCAAATAGCCACAAACTGCTCAGAGAGCTCTGCATACAAATGCAGTGATATTTTTAAAATGCATCATCTTAAAAAAAAAAAAAATATATGCACACTGAACACTAAAATTTTAAAGTGCTTAGTGATATTGGAAAGAGCCTGAATTTTCTGAAGAAATATGCAGGCACAAAGCTTTTATCTGTGTTAAAAGGAGGTTAAACACAATGCCCTTGGCATCATTAATTATTATTTACAGTATATTCACTGCAAATATTAACAGTTGTGCTTTTATTTGCTTTAAACGGTCACAGTGGACAAAGACCTATTTTTCAGTATCAAAAACTAGACTAGACTCTGTTTCATTTAATATCTTCACACTTTGCTGTCCTCGTTAGAAACTGAAGGACTGAGATGATTTGCTAGATGTCATCTGAAAAATGTACTTGTCCACATTATATGCCCAACATGTTATATGTAATCTAAACATGTTTGGGGTCTGGAGATCAACAACACGCTGACCTATCTTCAGAGTCTGAAAATGAGACTAATGTCTCCTAATCACTTCTAATCTCCTAATCAGATGACAATCAGTCATCTGACTGAGAAGAAAAAACATTTTTAAAAAATACCCTAGTCTCCGTCAAGAAGAAGGTAACAGATTAAACAAGATGAAACAATTTCTGCTGTTTACCTGCTCTGTTCATGACGCATGATTTTTTTTTTCCAGCGTGCTTATAACAATATTGTTATTTCATCTTCTATTTTGCCCCCTGAAAACCTTTTACCATCACAGGCAGTTGTTACCTCAGTATTTTCAGTATTCTAAAGATGAGGAAAAGATGTGCAGCACTACCTACATTACTGACTCTTCCTTGCCAGTTTTAGAAAGCTGCATAGGACAGAGCTAACCCATCCAATATCTGCCTATACTGCAATATCCATTGACTGCAAATGCAGATAATCATCTCTTTCTAAGCAGCATACTAGTGGTTAGCAAGTTCCATCTTCTCTCTTCCTCACAGTCCTTTAAACTTCCTCTGAGGTACAGTAACAGACATGCTACAAACACCAACTTAAGCCTATGACTCCTTAACCCACACCTTTCAAGAAGCTGACAAGTTCGGGTACAGCAAACCCTGGGTAAGAAGACTGTGTCTTCGGATGTGACTTAAGACACTAGTCATGACAAACTTGGTTACATTCAGATGTATTTAATATATGCAAACTACTAGTCCTTATGGAAGGGACATCCAAACACTGCCAATCATCTTTCCTGAACTAGTACCAGGCCTCAAGGAGTTAAACATGGACGTTGATGTGACTGGAAACCACAATCACTGCGAGCACTAACACAAACTCAGTTGCAAGGGTGAGAACACAGAGTGTAAAAGGCGAGAGGGCAGGGGGAGAAAGGAAAAGAGGCTGCATACTCCTCCTCACTGAAGTAGAGGCATCTATCATACAGTTCTGATTTCCAGCTTGGAGATGCTTCCAGGCTGAGCAAAAGAAGCATCTCTGAGGGTTTTGGTTTTTTTTTTTTTTTTCCTCCCTCCATCTGTGTGCTTTGAGAAAGGAACACAACCCTAGCAAAATAAACAGATCAATTTTTATCCTCAGAAAAAGTACACCAGAATCATTAGCATACATCCAATAATAATGGCAGTCAATAATTCCGGGCAAAAGGAGCTTCACTTTAACGGAAGAAAAAGTATTTTCCATGTCCTTTAACACTAGGTCAAACAATACCAACGTTTTCCTTGGTCTTATTTTTGTTGCCAATTTCCCTGGAGAAGCCTTTCTTCCTGCCTTTCACACACCTCACTAGTTTCAAACTCCAGATGAACTTTGGCTTTCCTAAACATGCACATCCCAGCACACTCAGGCTGTGTCTCTGCTTTCCTTTTGGATGGGTAATTCCATCCTCTTCCACCTCCCATATTCTTCCGTGTCGCTTTTGAGTTCAGATAAGTTTTCCACTCAGTCCCACTGGTCTCCTGCCACGTCTGCTCAAACTCTTCTATATTAATGAGGACATGTCGCCCTCTTTTGCACCTGCAGCACATCCTTCTATCCCATATCTTCGTTTCAAGCTTCTCATATTAGCATGCTGCATCTCTCGTCCCAAATTCATTCTCTTCGTGCTCTTTCCCATGCTATTTCTTTGTTTGCTTCAAGTCTTTAGAATGCAAGTCCAACATTGTTTCCTTTGTGCTTTGTCCTACACATGCATCCTGAATATCCTCCTTACACTTACCTAGGAAATACTAGCACTACATTCAACTCCCTCAAAGGTTTTCAGATGCAAATGTCTAGATGTAAATCAAGGATGTAAAGACCAAAAAGGAAAATAGCTTCTTAAAGTAAAGGCAATACTGGCACAAAATCAAATGGATATAAACTAGACATGAATACATTTATGATAGAAAAAAGAACAAGCAAACAAACATAATTTTTCATTAGAAGAACAGCAAGGTTCTGAAAAAGTTTCTTGTAAGGGTAACAAAGCTCACAATCTGGCTGGTTTCAAGAGACTGCCTGATTGATTTCCAAAAAAGATTTACTCGCTTGCTGATTGGATTCAGTAGTCTCACTGGATTCTTCCAGTCATGTTTTTAACTGACACCAAAATGGGATTTAAAAGCTTTCCTGAGTCATAACTGAAAAAGCACATTATATCCATGTAGCTTCTTTTTAAACAAGAAGTTTTGAAGTCTGGTCACCACCTAACAAGTTTTAAGCAACACACATCTTACAAACGCTTGGAAACAGATTTTAAAGCTATTTGAAAATGTGCTTTATAGAAGAAAATAAATTACAGAAAGACATACTCACCACCTTCCATCTTTCCTTGACCAAGATTCCCACACTGAGGATGTCTGGCTGCTCCCCTCCTCCACTCATTGCAGCTTCCTGGCGGGAGGGACGGAGCTGCTACGCAAAGGCTACGTCAGAAAAAAGCATCCAGATCCCAGGAGTGGCTTCCATTTAACCAGGGGCTGCAGAGCCAGAGAGCAAAACATGAGATCTCAGTGATTAAGAGTGACACGACTTACAGATACAGCCTTGGTTCTTCCTGACCCCATAATGACTTAACGTCAGCCAAACAACTTCCATCTTTCTGCGCATTTCCATAATGTGCAGAAAAATAAATCCAAGCATCTTATCCCTTATTTTTTTCTCCTGCTCAAGCCAATCTCAAACCAATGGATTCAACCTCAAAATAACACTAATGAAAGAAAAAAAAAAAAAAAAAAAAAAGGTTCTTCATATATTCTGTCAGCAAGAATATGATGGCAGGTTCCAATTTTTGCAATTCACAATTAGGTGCAGAGCTAATATTTAATAATATTAAGAATCCAAACAATTATTACATTTAAAACTAATAATTAAACAATAATCGATGGTGATACTTGGTATAAGCTCAAAATATTAACCTCAATCAGAAAATTAAAAATAGAGTTGAAATTTCAAATAATTGCACCTCATAAATTTTAAATCATTGCACCTCACACTAATTATTTCATAGTTTACAGCTACTATTACTTATCATTAAATACACCTGAAAGTATAATTTCACTGATTTATGCAAGGGTGCAATTAGCTAAAGGGAAAAAATCTTGTCTTATAATTTAATCCATTTAATTTTTGTAATTTCCAAGCTTTTCGCAATCATCTCTAAATCAGATTTTATACAGCAATACAATGTTTGCATCTTGGAGATCAATCCATCCATAATTGCTCCCATTAGTATCTATTACACCAAATTAAAGCAGGATTTCAATTGTTTGCTATGAGTTTTTCTGTAACCTTACATTTTTGGTACACTGTTTTGTACAATAATTCACTCTTCACACACGCTCTCTATCCAACAACAAGAAAATCCCACAGCGACTTCGCCTTGGTTTGCTTCAATCACTTGCAAAATTGCACAGACCAGAAGTGAGTCTCTCATCCCTGAATCAGTGTGCAAGTGGCATACAAATTATGTTCAAACCGAGCATATTGCTCCTCTGGAAATTTATGCTTTGATATAATTTCCCAATGTAAACAGGAAATGCAAAGTTACTTTCCCCTAATAAAATAAAAATTGCAGTGTATCCGTTCTTGTCTTATTACTGGATTTTAATTGTGATTCAAAAGAGAATTAGAACGAACTGCGAGCAAGGTAATGACCGGAAGCTAAATAAAATACTCTCCCCTTTTTTCTGGAATATGCAGGTCCCCCCAAAAATTAAAAATCATCTCTTAAAAGGTGCTAAGTCATTTAACTACTTAGATTTGTATTTCTCATTACCTAAAGACAGTACAACTTTAAACAATAAGGATTTACTTGATTCTGATTCAGGCTCTCTTAATGTTCACTAATAAAGGGACAACAAGCAGAAATGAAAAAGTGCAAAATGCCTGCAAATGTAGGATTTTTTTTCTGCTGGCATTTATTTGGAGAGAACAGGGGGCTAAAAATTACGAACATGTGTGTTTAATCCACTTGTAAATAACAAATACCCCTAAAAATATGCAAACATACCTTCTTTTATTTATTTATTCTTTTATTTATTCTTTTATAAACAACAAGAAAATCTTAGGGTGGCAAACACTCCCATCTGAGTTGCAAATTCTAACATTTAAATCAACTCCAAACAAATAAAGAGTTCCCCACTTCTCCCCAAAAAATTAATCTGGATTAGTCAGGGATCTAAATTTACACCAAATTAGTCGGAGCGCGTTAAATCCCAGCAAGAATACATTCATTCAGAATATGTAGCCTTAATTGGTTTACTTCAAATGAATGAAGGGAAACTAAATTAAGGCTGGGTATTCTGAGTAAGAGCATCCACACACAGATTTAATCAAGTTGAGCCAAACCAATTCTGATTCTTCCCTGTAGGTAAGGTCAACATTTGAAAACAGACCTAGAATCATTGGTGGTACCATCCTAACATGAGCAACCACCGACTGTAATTACCTGCCTTTTCAACAGAACTACCACAGCACAGTCAAAAACAAGGCAGGTCCAGAAGAGAATGAAGGAGCACTTCTAAAGGGACAAAGGTCTATTAAAACTACTCAAATTAGATGTTCACAGCATATTCAGAGATTTTTCCATTTGGTCCCAATATTGCCTACCCTTCCCTGGCCTCCCAGTTACATCAGGTAAGAGAAATCCTTGAACTGATACACTTGAACCTTGATACCTTGAACTGATGCTTCTACTTCAGATTGCAATTGCCAGCCACAGCTGAGGTGCATTTCTGAGCACTAGTCATTCAAGGCACCTCAACCATATTGAGAGACCATAAAACTGAAAGCAATGCTACACTGCAATACCCATGCCCACAACCACACACTTTGAGACTTAGACAAAGACTACAGTGCCATAGATAACATCTTCTAGATGACCAAGATAAAAGAATCCAATTCCTCATTAAATTACCTGCCGTCCCATCTCTTTATAAAGCAATAAATGGGTTGACAGCATCAGCCCCTGGTAGTCAAAAGATCAAAATAATCAGGGCACATTAAGCAATCACACAGAGGAGACCAAAGTTCTCTCTCAAGCTCCAAAGGGAAGGTGCTCATTTCCTGAAGCACAAAAATCGGAGCAAGCACTGCGGTACTTAAAAAATGCAAGCCTTATACCAGCATGGGGAGGTCAATTTGGAAAATCCTGTTTTCTCCAGGATCCCAAAGAAAGTGGCCTGAGGCTTCAGTCAGTGATTTCAAGGCCAGACAGCCTCCTCCGGTTTTCTACCCATACAGGCTACAAAACTCCATCCCTTTAGCAAACTGGCACATGCACTTGATATGCAAGGTCCCAAATGATGAGGCATCCAGTACCTTCTCCAGCAGTCCCTTCCAGTAAGTGCTTCTCCTCGCAGTCAGCATGATTTGTTTCGTTGTCAAGGTTTAATTTGCTTGACTTCAGCTCCTCACCATAGGACTTTGTCATATTTTTGGAGAACAAATTCCATTTCCAGTAATTTTATTTCATATAAGTATCTAAATGCAGGGATCAAATAATTCTTTAACCTTCTCTAAATTAATAAACTAACCATTAGGTCTTTCCTGTAAAATTTATTTTCTGTCCCATCGATCATTTATGTGGCCCTCTTAATTCTCCCACCTGGCATCACAACTGCTCCACACTGCAGGCTGCGACCTTGAACCACACTCAATTGCACCAATATGTAATAAGGAGAAAAAAGATCCATTTTCTCTTTCTTCATAATAGTCTTATTTCCCTAAACTATATTTCCACAGCCATTAAATCATCTGCTGCCCAAGTAATTTGTCTTTATAATTTTCTGAAATACATAGCAGCCATTTCAACATCAGCTTTTGTAAAAATGTATTTTACATATAACACTTTCCCTAGATGACCAATTTATATCAAGAAAAGAAACTGGCAAGATAACAGAATTATCTCAACTAAAGGTGATCGGCCACTTGGCAAAACTATTTCCAGGTGACAAGTCCTGAAACACTTCAGACAACGCGAGCGCAGCCTGTGCTCCATAGCACAAGCCTTCCCAAGCCTCAGAATTGACCACACATAAACATATGGCTGTTTAAAAGAGGGTTAGCACCTACATCCCAAATCTGGTATCATACAAATAGCTTCACTGTTTGAAATTTACGTTTAGACATCTTTAATTTACACACTCAAGTATATTAAAAAAATGCTACTAGCCAACTGCAATGCAGAATTTTTGGAAAATAAAAGCCAAATTCGCTAAGGTTGACTACTAATAAGCATGTAAAGACAGTCATTCTATGGGTGCATTTTGTGAGCATACATGTACACATATGTATTTCTTCACAGATAGTCCTAAATTGAAATTAAATCTGCTTACCAGCTTTTAGATGTTTAGATGTTTAAAGCTAGGTCTAAGGTTGAGAAAGGAGCACAGGCAATTCTGGCTGAAAGCAGCTATTGTACCTTTCAGGACACATCAAGTAAGGACAGAAGATTCCCTCTGTTCCACAGAAAGGAAAAATACTTGTTCTTCCTTGTGCCTTCCTTGTGGAATAATAACTACATATTTGTATTGGAAGTGCGTAAGGGCTATTAGGAATTCTACCTGGCTGCCTTCAGTCCATTTAAGCTGTCAATAAAACCAACATGTCCCATAGTTGCTTTCCACTCCTGTACGTTCTAATTTTGTGTAAAAGACATACTTAAAAGAACAAAGTCAAGCTTAGCAAAACAGGATAAAGAAAATATGGGCAGGAAATTTTCAAAAGCTTTAAATCCACAGCCTTTGTGGCGGGGTCCACTGCCTTTGGCAGGGAAAGGGTCATTAGCCAAGTATAAACCCTAAGGCTAAGAGGAATTTCAAGTGCATCTGTTTGATCTTGCAACCTATAAAGCTATCTTGCTCTTACAACCTGAACGGTGCTCCTCAGTTCCACCAAAAAAATCATTTCAGAAAAGAAAACTAAATGCAAGACACTGACATAAATTTCCAAACGTCCTGGTTATGAAGAAAACCTTAAAAAACGCACCACATAACCAACTCCATTTTACATTTCCTGTCTCAAGCTTTTTGGTGCCAAAATACTGGTTGCCTTTTGTAGATTCCAGGTGTGAAAAGCTCCCAACTGTCTCCTTTCACTCTGCCAAGGAGTCTAGATCCCCTTCTGGCAAGTTCTGTTCTTACAGCTATGTTGTTACTACGAAAGCAGCAGCACTTTCTCAGTTTGAAGGCAAGTTTAATGCATAACATTCAGTTTCCAAGTAACAGGCCTAGTTCTAAACCAAGTATTTCCAGCTACCGCCCTCCTTCCAATTTGTAGCAGAGTTTAGCAACAAAATGGTCCAAAAAAAACATGGTACCAAATGGGCAAAAGTCTGTGGCAGGAGTACAGTAGCTTTTATTACAGCAGCTGACACAGAGGGCAAAAACATGCAAGTTTTTTTTAGATATGGGAACCCTTACTCAAGTCTGAAATAGCCACAGCACTTAAAAT